TCTCATGTATTTTACAAACAGAGGTCCAGCTATTCCACTTGTGCAAACAAAGAAATATCAGAACAACCATTTAAAAATATGACCTTGGGAATTTCATACAAATAATTTTCCTACCTAGGTCTGTTACTTGTCGATCAAACGGGCAACGTATTGCTCTTCCATGCAGAGGCAAGCGAGTAAGACAGTCATGACAGACTGTGTGACCACAAAGGAGGAGGCGAGGAACTTTATCCCCTTGCAAAGAGAAGACATCTTCACAAACCCCACATTCCAGAACCTAGTATTGGAAACAGAATGTCTATGAATACTATTGAAACAATGTTCTAGTATTTTAAAGTTTAAAAAGAATTGACCTAGTTAATATATTAAATCAACCTTAATACTCTATTCCTCCATTGTGTGGGGGACTAAAATATAAAACCTTAAATCATATTTTTATTCATTCCCATTTGACAGACCTTGCCAAAGTGAAACCTCCTTGAAATTAACATAAGTAACATAATCTAATCTTCTGAAAACTGAACATGTAGCAATTTATAATTCTTCTGAAACCCCCAATTAACAATCATTTCACCTCACTTTTCTGTTTTAAAAAATGTTTTGAGATTTATTTTTGTATATGGATGTTTGCCTGTAAGTATGTCTGTGCACCTTGTTGTGTGGTACTCACAGAAGTCAGAAGAGAGTATCAGCTTCTCTAGAGCTAGTTACAAATGGTTGTGAGCCACCTTGTGGGTGCTGGGAATCAAACCCGGATCCTCTGAAACAGCAGTCAGTATTCTCTACAGATTAGTCATCTCTCCTCTAAATCCTGTTTTATTTCCTTGTCATATGACATTTCACTGAGCAGCTCTGAATGGACCTCAGTCCAAGCTGCCTCAAGTATACAGTGATCCTCCTACCTCTTCCTTCCAAATGCTAGGATTATAGGATGTATCACTATGTCCAGCTAAAACACCATTGACTTTAAAAAAAAATTTTAAATGTGTGTTGGGATGACACTCAGTTTTCTAAACTATAAAACACTTGTAAGAAAATTTCCAAGGAATATTCAATTATCTTCTAGACTTCACAAAATAATGTAAAGGCAAAAGCCAGATTAGATGAAAATTAAATTTCAATTCCTATTCTTTATTAAGAAGTTGCTCTGACTTGGAAAATATTTGACTATCTAGTTGTAATCACAGGTAGCTGTGAGAACCGACTCACTCTGACTCTCAGGTCCATGGGTTAATATTTTATAAAAATAATCATAAAACTGTAATTATCATAGCATACCATTTTCACTGCTTTTACAACTATTGTTTGTGTTGTTTACAGTTTTAATTATCTTTAAAACATTCACAATGGCCGGGCATTGGTGGCGCACGCCTTTAATCCCAGCACTCAGGAGGCAGAGGCAGGCGGATCTCTGTGAGTTCAAGGCCAGCCTGTCTACAGAGCAAGTTCCAGGACAGCCTCCAAAACAATACAGAGAAACCCTGTCTCAAAAAAAAAAAAAAAAAAAAAGAAAAGAAAGAAAGAAAGAAAGAAAGAAAAGAAAACATTCACAATGAATTGTCCATTGTCTACCAATCAGGACACACTACAATCTGGTCCTGTACCCTTGCTTCACTGCCATACCCTGCAGATCCCTATGGTCCAAGTGCGTCCCAGGACAGGGCAGTGCTTAACTCTTGCTCTATACTAATTAACGTTGAGGAAACTGGGAAACATCTACTTTCTGGCTTCCTTTTTAAGGTTTTTATTTTCATAAATTAAAAAACTCCCAAGTACCTAGCTGTTGTTCTACCCTCCCTTACTCCAGTGGAAACAGCTGCATTACCCTTTGGGTTTCCATGTACTCTGACTATCTATCTGCCCGTCGGACTCAAACACTTCAATACTTTCACTGACTAGCACATCTCTCCCTCTAACAACAAGAACACAAAACAATACACTCCAAAGAGTAAGCCCCTATGTTCTTTTCTTTTTTTTTGTTTTTTTTTTTTTTGTTTTTGTTTTGTTTTTTGAGACAGGGTTTCTCTGTATTGTTTTGGAGACTGTCCTGGAACTCACTCTGTAGACCAGGCTGTTCTGGAACTCACAGAGATCCGCCCACCTCTGCCACCAGCGCCCGGCTGCCCCTATGTTCTTATGTAAATAAAATCCAAGTAAAATAAAAATTAAAAACAAAAACAACGCAGCCCACCATCAACCACACACAACGCAAAATTAAAAATAGAAAAATTAGAGTGGAAATCTCATCAGACACATTACAATTTTAAACTTGGTTCTCCAATACATTTAGACTTAGAAATTGAGATGCAGGACTAGAGAGATGGCTCAGTGGTTAAGAGCACTGGCTGTTCTTCTTGAGGTGGTGAGTTCAATTCTCAGCACCCACATGGTGGCTCTCAACCACCTGTAACTGTAGTTCCACCGGATCTGACACCCTCTTCTGGTGTGCAGATATACATGCAGACAAAACACCTGTACACACAGTAAATAAATAAATGTTTAAAAAATAAGAGAGACTGAGATGCAAACATCTTTTACTGTAATTAAACTGGTATTTCATAGTTGCCTTGAATACTGGTATAGTTCAAAAAAGTTAAATGTAGGTATAGTTCACAGAAAAAAAAGAGACAAATTAAAGTATCTTAAAAATTATATTAAGCTAAACACGTAAAGAAAACTTTATATTAAGAATTCACTCTAACTCATTAAAGTGCAAAGAAAAAGTACACCAACATACTTTTTCAAAAAGTTATTAATGCTTTGAATTAATAAAATGAAGCAATTGGAGGAAATGCAGGAAAACAACTTCACTGACTGATATGAAAAATTTACTGAGTAATAACAGCAATGGAAGCAATTTAGCAGTTTAAGGAATGTATTCTAAACTACCTCAAACATGAGACAAAATCCAAACGTTTTCATCCTTGTTGATATTGTTGTCTCTCATTTTTGCACATGTAGGCAAATGTCCTCCTACTGAGTCACATCCCCAGCCCACATGTGACAAGATCAATATGTTATTCTTTAACGCCCCATTTATATCATTAAAGAATTAAAAACAAAATTAAATGAACATATAAACACTAAACTGAAAGATAAATTATGGTGCATTCATATGCCATAACTGCAGGCCATTAAAGATTAAAGTTTCTTCTGTGTATACACAGAATGACTAAAGTGGAAAGTGCTAAGAAGAATGTACAACATGCTACTTCGTCCAATTATGGAAAAAAAAAACCTTTAGATTCACAAAATATTCTGCAGGTAGTCTCCATTTGGCAAAAGCACAATTCAAAATATTAATCTCAAACATAAAATATGCTTAATAACAAGGGTTCTTCTACATTTCAGATCTTTGTACCTTCAATGTAATTTGGATTCAATATAAAAAGTTAACTAAACCAATAAAAAGGGACTAATAATAAATTACTAGCATAAATTCCTCAAAAAAGGCCTTTGTTAAAAAAAAAAAAGGTATCTAGCATTTAGCGAGTAATGACCAAGTGGACTTGGTTCACTGTTATCAACCCAAGTGTATATTACAATCACTTCTGGGAATTTAAAAACTATATTGTTGTCAACACAACTCAGAAAGAGAATACCAATCTCTTGTTTGCAGATGATCTCCAAAGTTACTCCGTAAACCACTGACTGGCTCCTTTCAGATCTGTGTTAACAGTGGGTGGGGGAATGAGCTTGATGTACTTCGTCTTTAGTAAAAGCATTTTACAAATATGTGGTAGAATCTTCCAAGCAGAGGGTATACCATACATCTAGTGTTAAACCCCACCTACGCTGCAGCTGGAGACTTTTCACACCGTTCTGTTCAGAGGCAAAGGGCGGGTCAAAAACGTCCATGTATAATTACAGCAACAACTCAATGTTGAAAAGCAGCCTTTGACAAACCAGTAAACGCCGGGCCCTCGCTACGCACTGTAGGAAGCTAAACCTCGGGTTCCTCCGTGTAAAACGCTAAGTAGCAAGCATCAACCACAGTTCTTGTCACTGTAACGGCTGGTTAGCACATCCACGCCAACTAATGCCTGCGGAGGCTTCACTGGAAACAGAGGAGCAGGGGAAAGCCCAACCCAGGTCAGCCTCCGCAGCCCCATCCAGGCAGGCCACTTTAGACAACAGCAGGCCGAGGACGGCGCGGGGCAGGAAGGGCTCGTAACGCCCACCCGGTGCCAGAGGCCGCGCAGCCCGCCCGGCCTAGCCTGGGCCGCAGAGTCGCCCCCAGCTCTCCAGGACGAGCCGAAGGGAGGCCGCAGGTGGAGAACAGAGCCCGCGAGTTCCCTCACCTTCACCACAGCCGTCCCCCGGCTGCCCTGCCGCCCACTGTCTACTCCGGCTCCGGGCTTGTTTACAGCTAGGGCAGCCATCCTGGACGGAGCGGCGCCACAGCAGCAGCAGAGCCTTTAACTGAGAGGAGGAGTTGAGCGACCTACCCAGAAGCCTCAGCGCATGCCGCCGACGCGCATGCGCACTCCGGGCGGGGCGCCGCTCCGCCTCCTCCGGCCTTTAATCCGCCGTCAGTCATTGGCTGTGCGACCTGGGCGTGAACACTTTGGTTTTTCATGAGGGTGCCTGTGAGCGACAGGGGGAAGGGAGAAAATAAAAAGGATGGATGGGGCATAAATAAAATTTTAGAGTGAAAGTGCCGATCCTGTAATGATTTTTTTCCTCCAGAACTGAAGCGAGCCAGAGGGAAGAAATCAGCTAATCCCCGCCCCGCCACCGCTAGTTTGAATAAAATAAACTACAAATCCCAGCATGCCACTCGAGTGTCCTCCTACCCCCGCCCCTCGCGCCCCTGTCGCGCAGTGTAAGCTTTTGGGAGGCCGTGTGTTGTCAGCTGAAAGCGGCTCATTGGAGTCAGTCCGTGTAATTCTGAGCACAGGAATGGCCTTCGTGAAAAGATTTTCACTGGGGCCTTACCAAATTTAATGCAAAGAGAAGATAAGTTAGTACGAGCCGAAAGAAGTTGGGCGTGTGTTTGACGCCGAGTCTTCCGGGACTTGTGCTTTGCAGTTTCCTCCCCGACCCAGGGTGAAACTCCTGAGCCTGAGATCAGAAGTGCACGTCAAGATGGAAGTGAATCCCCCGAAACAGGAGCACCTGCTGGCGCTGAAAGGTAAACTGTTACGTGCCTAAGGCTCTTTACTCTTCCCCCCACACCCGTGACTATTTGAAGGATTCCCAACGTAAGCCTTATCCCTACACACGGCAGGGCTCGCCCTCTTGCTAAATACTTTTAGAATTTAGATGCCTTCTAGAATGAAATGCAGTCAGTCCTAAATTCCTCTGTGATCTGTGCTACTGCAGCCACCAGATTTTATTCACAGAAGCTCAGGCCTGGATCCTGTGGGGAGATCTCTGTGAACCAGAATACATTTCAGCTGGCTCTTAAAGCAATTTTTTATTTATTTATTTTGTTTTTTTGTTTGGTTGGGGTTTTTTTTGTTTTTTGTTTTTTGTTTTTTTTGTTTTTGTTTTTTTGGTTTTTCGAGACAGGGTTTCTCTGTAGCTTTGGAGGCTGTCCTGAAACTTGCTTTGTAGACCAGGCTGGTCTCGAATTCACAGAGATCCACCTACCTCTGCCTCCCGATGCTGGGATTAAAGGTTTGTGCCATCATCACCCGGTTTAGAGCAAAATTTTTTATTACTCTATTATCCGCTCATATAGCAGGAACAAAGTTACCAGGCTTTCGCTTAGCTGTATGTAATATTGCGTGATAATGCCAAGGATTTATACAATTAATGGTAATACACCCAATAGTTATTTGTTGAATATACTACACATTACTTTACACTGTAGTATCATATTTGTGGAAAATTTATCTAGAATCTCTAACTCTAATTTTCTGTACATGGCAGTTTTGAATAAGTTTTAATGATTTAGTTTAACCAGAAACAAGCTGGCTGGGCAGATTTTCCTTAAATTTTCTTATCGAAACCTTTTATTTAAAATATTTTCAGCTTTATTTTATGTTTTTTGGCATTTTGGTTTTTCAAGACCAGGTTTCTCTGTGTAACAGCCCTGGCTGTCCTGGAACTCAACTCTGTAGACCACACTGGCCTTGAACTCACAGAGATCCTCCTGCCTCTGCCTGCCAAGTGCTGGGACTAAAGGCGTGCGCTATTTTATGTTTTCTCCTGCCACAATGCACTTCCTTGCTTTTGGAATGCACGGTTATGAGGGTATGCCTTTCTCTAGTCTGGGGAAATGCTTAGAAGACACTTGAACTAGATTGTGTTGCACTTGCCTGCCTTAAGGCATCCCTTTTGATGCACTCCATGTCCTCCCCCACACTTTGTGTTCTATACATCTTACCTTCCAGAAGCCCACGTATCAATAGCTGCAGTGAACATGACTGTCTCAAGCAAGGCTGCAACACTGGGTGATGAAACAAACAGCCCTGTAGGTTTCCACGTGATCCAGACTAAAATAGATTATATGTGTATAAAAGGAACTTACTGTATATTCATTGTCTCAGTCCTACATCTAGTGTGGGAACTAGATATTAGTTATCTTTATGGTCTAGCAACTTACTTCATACATATCTAGTAAGAGTTCAAGGCAACAATTCAACAAGGCCTGCCTCATATTTCTAAAATGCCCTGTTGGCCTCGTATCAAATGAAACAGCTTTTTCAGAGACCATTACCTTACGACTTGTATATGAATTTAAAACAGTTATATTAGTTGCTAAGTGTGGTGTCACACAACTTTGACACTACTAAAAATTCCAGTGCTGGGGAATTTTATTTGTTGTTGTTATTCATGTTTAGAAACACAAGATGCCTAGTAAACAACACTTAATCAGACAAACAGGACAAGAGCTTTGATACTGTTTTCCCCACATTGTCCTAGGTAATCGAGAATTTCACAGGGTTTAGTTTTACTGATGTTGACTCTTCAAGCATGCCAATTTAAATGAACATTTAACTTTCTTATGTGTAAAATCTAAGAATGATATCTTTTTGCTCTTTTTTTCCTCCAACCTTCTCTCTTCTCTCGCTCTCTCCTTCACTTGTCTCCTTTTTGAGACAGGGTCACAACTGTGCCAGGTTGACCTCAAACTCACAATGTAAATGAGGACAAGCATACATTCCTGGTCCTCCTGCCTCCACTTCCCATACAATAGGATTACAGATGTGTACCACTATACCCAGTTTTTGGGGTCCTGGGATTTGAGCACAAGGCTTTGTGCATATTAGGAAAGCGCTCTACTGACTGACCTACATCCCCAATGCCTTTTATTATTCTTGAAATGAAAATATTTTACCTAAAAAGAGCTCTCAAAATTTGTTGTTTCTTGAGTCTATCATTGAATAAGTTCAGACAACAATAAAAGAATTCTCAGTGCCCTGCCTCACAGTGAAATGTGTAAAGAAGAGAAAGATAAAATCATTAATTCTTCATCCTTGATTGTAGTCAAAAACCAAAAAGTGATCATTATTAATTATGTAAAGAATATGTCACCACATATTAAATCTATACTAAAATTATGAATCTTAAGAATTATACTTATTTTTAAGGGCATAAAAGATTTATTATACAATTATTTACATCTTAATTCTTCAGAATCACACTGTGGTTCTATTGTGACATCACACCAGGAATCTGGGTACTAGTTATCCTAGCAATACAAGAATGTTCATCGATTTGTTCTCTCATGTTTTGGGAGTAAAAAATGTGTGTGTGTGTGTGTGTGTGTGTGTGTGTGTGTGTGTGTGTGTGTGTAAGAGCCTCTCTTAATACTCAGCTTTGGTCTGGTTAGAAAGCCCAACTTATAGATCAGATGATCCTGGCCAGCTCCATTCTTGAGGCCTTCTGTGCTGGAACTTTCTGTCACTGCTTTAATTTGGGACATTATCAGAACTTCTATGTTGTGTTCTTCCATGGCATTGACAAGGAATCCATACATTGGCATCTGGGAGTCATAGATCTAGTCTAACTGCTATTTAAATGCCACCTTTATACAGAGAAGACTTTGTCATAACTCCATTTTCTATTTGGATTAACGTGCAAAGTTAATCCATTTTCATGTTTTTGATGTCTGTTATTGAGAAAGACAGTAATTATTCTGCCTATGTGTTGGTAGAATTTATAAAATTTTAGAGTATAATCACATTAATTTTATCCCATATACATTTTTTCAAGCTACTAATTTTGAGCAGGACAGGATGTTGCACATTTTTAATCCCAGCAGAGGGGAGCAGAAGCAGGCAAATCTTGATCTACTAATTTTGAGCAGGGCGGGATGTTGCACATTTTTAATCCCAGCAGAGGGGAGCAGAAGCAGGCAAATCTTGATTTTCGTTATGAGTTCCAGGATAGCCAGAATTTCATGGTGAAACTGTTTCTCAAACAAACTAAAACAAAACAAAATTAAAAACCTAGTAATTTCATTTTCCTATATTTTGAAGTCACAGATGTTTTCTGTTTTTTAACAGTGTTTTTTAGAAGACTTTATGTAGACATTCTACCTGCATGTTTGTCTGTACGTGTATGTATGTTTGTGCACCATGGATGTTCGGTGTCCACGGAGGCCAGAGGAGGTTGTCAGATATTTGAGCTGCAGTTATAGATGGTTGTGAGCAATTATGAAAGTGCTGGGAATTGAACCTGAGTCCTCTAAAAGAGCAACTAGTGTTCTTTTTTTTTTTTTAATTTTAAATAGCTTGCTTCACATATCAATCCCAGTTCCCTCTCCCTCCCCTCCTCCCGCAGCCCCCCACTATCCCCCCCAGCCTCCCATCCTATCCCCACTTCCTTCCACATAGGGGATATCCAGAGTCATTTCACTCAGGGCAGGGTCCAGGCATTCCCCTAAGAGTCCAGGCTGAAAGAGCATCCCTCTTTGTGTTACGGATACACGAAGTCCATTTGTATGCGAGGGATAAACACTGATCTACTGCCCAGGGCCCCATAGGTTGCCCAGGCCTCTTCACTGACTCTCACACTCATGACCCATGCTGGCCTCCCAGCTGTTGGTCTGGGGTCCAAGCGCTCCCCCTTGTTCAGATCAGCTGTCTCTGCTGGTTTTGCCAGCCGCAACTAGTGTTCTTAACCACTGAGCCTCCCCCCCACACACACAAAATTTTTAAATATTACATTATGTGATAAGAATCACGTGATAAGAGTCACCAGTTTTTGTTTCTCTTATGGTTTTAGGACTATGATTACCAACTTTTGTTTTGTTTTGTTTTGTTTTTGTTTTTCGAGACAGGGTTTCTCTGTATTGTTTTGGAGGCTGCCCTGGAACTCGCTTGGTAGACCAGGCTGACCTCGAACTCCCAGAGATCCACCTGCCTCTGCCTCCCAAGTGCTGGGATTAAAGGCGTACGCCACCAACGCCCGGCACGATTACCAACAATTTAATGGTAATATTTTAAAGTCCTTAGTTAAATTGCTAACTATCAGCATGTTTAGGCTAAATATTCATTGGAATCCAATTCAGATACTTTGTTGTGGGAAAGAGTTTTCAGGTGTGTGATTGTATTCACATCTGCCATAGCACTTTGTTAAAATACAATAAAGGGAATGGGTTTTGGTTTCTCCTCCCTGTATGCAGGCTGTCCCTACCAAACCTTATTCTTTGCAATACTTCCACTTTAGGTCCTGTTTCTTCTGATTTGACAAGAGAGACAGTCTTGTAAATAATAAATTACATTCTAGCTCTGAAGAATTCAGCTAAGACATTTTCTCTTCACTAAGAGTTAATGAATTACTGCAGAATGACTACTGAAGTAATACTACATTATCGGCCATATGAAAAAAATTCCACACAACTGGCAGAAATTGCAGAAAAGGCAATTCAGGACTTTCCTACTCACCCACTGTCAAGATTTATTCCTTGGTTTCCACAAGATGGGTCCAGACTTCCACTCAAGCCTAAAAGACTACCACCAGTAGTTTCTGGAGAGGCTGCTGAGAAGGTGAAACAGTACATAACCATATCAGAACCTAGTGTTAAATCTCAGAGCTATGATTGCACAGTAGATCTCTTGGAGTTTCAACCTAGTTTGAAAACCCAGCACATAATCCAGTCACACATGCTGAATGAACAGAATAATCCTGGAAATGTGGATAGAAATTCAGGAAAAGGGAAACTGCACAGAAAGAGATCCTGGAGCGTTTCACTTGTGAGAAAACACTGTCCAAAAAAGATTTTTCCTTTGTCTAAACAATTGCAAGCTAGTTTAAAGACACTGCATTTGCACTCCCTTCATAGAGCAAGATGGACATTAGAATACAGTGCTTGCAACAACCAGACTCTGGAAGACATTTGGGCAAAACTCAATCATCTCATCAGGCATAATGAGCTTCCTTCATGTAATGCCACTATCCAAAGACAGTTAGACCAGATATGGGTGTTCTGTGATATTATGTACTGTGAATATGTAGGAAATCTTCTTAAAGAGAGACTCTCTCTTGGGAAAATTCATTTATTTGTGCATAAATATGGTATTATTTTTAGTATGTAATGAATTCTGATTATCTGAAAAATATTCTGAATGAAATGAACATGGACTGAATTTATAAAATGAATAAATTTTGTCATTATATTTTAATAACTTAAAATTTTATACTGTGAAGAAATAATTGTCTAATATGTATACAGTTTATATCCAATATGTAAATGAGTATCACATAATTCCAAAGCTTGTGAATCAAGTCAGTAACATTCTAGATTCTGTTTATTAGTGTTCTTTGAGGTAAACTGTGATGAATTATTGTTTGTACTAAAATTGGGAGTGTGTTCTAGTCTTTGATTAAGTTTAAATGGTCTGAATTTTAATGAATCCTTAAAAATTTATTTTTTTAACTTACCTAAGTGTAATACTGGATGTGTATAAAATTAAAAGTCTTAACACAAGTATGTCTGATTTTGTATTTTTAGGATTTATCACAAGGTTGCCGATCAAGGGTTAAAAGTTGGGAAATCATAGAACTTTTGTGATAGTTTTGTTATTTTTGAAAAGTTTAGAACAGACCCAAAAGTGTAAGTTACAATGAGATTATTAACAGTTTTAAAATCCAAGAATTAAAAAGAGCTTCTTTGTTTTCATATGTGGAAGATCTGCATTTTTCTGATTTACACTGGATGAATTGCTTTCCACTTCTCTGAGGAACAATGAAAATAAATGAGAAATAGAAGGTTTTTTTGTTTTTGTTTTTTTTTAACTTCAAATAGTATAGTGATCCAAAAGAAGAAAAGATGTGTTTCCATCTACCTACACGAGTCTTAGGAGCTTATCAGGGCCTCAGAACTTAGGCCCACTGTTATTTCCTAGAAAGCCTTTATTTTAAAGTTACATTTAATTATTGTGTGTTTGCCTGTACATACATGTTACATAGATGGAGGTCAGAGACAGCTTGCAGGGGTTGGTTGGGTTTCTTGCTCTATCATGTAGGTCCTGGGAGTTGAACTCAGATCATCAGGCTTGGTGTGATTTTACCCACTATTCTCCTTGTCCTGTCCTCTGGGAGCCTTTTAAAGGGTGTCAGGTTTTGTACTTGGTGCCACATGTGCATCCTGGGGTTAGGTGATTCTGTCATTAGCTGGTATTATTACAGCTACAGTCATGAACCAGTGAACTGGGCCGAGTACAATTTGCCAGAATTATTAAGAGATTAGATAGATTCCGCTTCAGATTCAATGTCTTTACTGCATTCTGCGGTGATATATTGTTTATGATCTAATAAGGATCAAGTCATTCCACTGTTTGGTCATACATGGAATATACTAGGGAAACAAAGGTAAGTATGGAAAGACAAGTGAGTGAGAGCATTGGAGAAATGCAGTCAGCACTCTAGGAAAGAAGCAGCAGTATCATTTTTTTTTCCTTGTTATCCATCTGCCTTTAAATGTTAAATTCAGAGTGAAAGAGGCGGAGACAACCAAGTTACAAGCTTTTGTTGTTTGCTTTAAATTTGACCTGCTCTTAGACAAATATAGCTTGATTTCACAACTTAACAAGTAACAGATGTGTTAATTTACTTCATCTTCACAAAATACCAAAAATTAATCTAGGGTTCACAGTCTTCAATGCCTCTGAGAGCCAAAGCAGGTGAGGCTGTAAAATGCAATAAAGACATTGAATCTGAAGTGGAATCTACCTGGTTTCAATAATTCTAGCCAATCAAAATGAATATGCATGTCTTTTTTCTTAAAAGACTAAAATGGATATTCTTGACCAATTTTCCATTCAAGCATTGGTATAAAATCGCTACCCAGTAACTAGAGCTTCCTTTTAGTTGCTCTGTCAGTGTTTCCTGGGCCAGAGGACATCTAGGCACCCCAGGCACCAGCCACCCTGGCTTGTTTTTTGATTAGTTTGCTTTGGTTTTATGGAGTCAAGATCTCTCTCCCTTGTCAAGTTGGCCAGCAAGCGCCAAGGATTTACATGTTACCACCATACCCAGCTTTTTATACATTGGTTCTGGGATCTAACTCAGGTCCTGATGCTTGTACACAAGCACTTTACCAAATGAACTACTTTCCCAGACTACTGTGAGTTACTTAAACCTTCCTTTTTTTAGGTAGAATTTGCTCTTTTGTACCTAATATCTTCAGTTTTTGAGATCCATTAATTCATTATAAGGCACGAGATAGTTGTAAACATGCATTTGGTACTGGCACGTTTTATTTTGGTCTCTAAAAAAGGGCATTGAAAGCCTAGTTTGTTTTAAAGCTCAAGGAGAGACAAATGGACATAGCACACACCTTTAATCCCAGCACTGGGGAGGCAGAGGTAGGTGAATCTGTTCCAGGACAGCCTAGTGACACATTATCTCAAAAGCAGTCAACGGGTGAGCTGGGTGTGCTGACTTGTGACTATAGTGCTAGCACTTGAACACCTGAGACGGGAGATTCCAAAGTTCAAGACTAACCTGAACTTCATGGCACATTCCAGGTCGTCTTGGACTATAATATGAGACCTTGCCTCAAAACAAGAAAATAAAGTTTAAGGAGTGAGCTATTTGTGTAGTTCTGCTTGCCCTGTTTCATAAGTTTGCTTTCATGTAGTATACACAGCTGTGGCGCACACACACAGAGGCCTAAGGCTGGACAGTATAGAACGTGCACCCATCTAGGCTTCATAAAAGCCCCTAAAAAACAAAACAACAGAGATGGGTGGGCTTTGAATTTTAGCCATTTAAATTAAGAAGGCTACTTTTTGTATACCTCTCTTGGGGTACCTAGTTATCTTTAGGTTTTATTTGATAATTTTCACTGTTTCTGTTTCTGTGTTCCTAGTTAAAGGTAAGAATGGGGGCTAGAGAGATTGCTCGAAGGTTAAGAGCACTTATATATGATTCTTGCATAGGAACCAGATTCCGTTATAGTGGCTCACAGCCTTCCATAACTCCAGTTTTAAAGGACCTTATGACCTCTTCTAACCAGGCATGCACATGGTATACACACACACACACATGCAGAACATTCATACACATAAAAATAAATAATTCTTTTAAAAAAAAAAAAGAGTGAAGGTTATAGACACCAATACCATGTCTTAAGCTAGTTAACTTTATTTGGAAGAGTTCTATTTGAGTTCCACAGTATATTTTTAATAAGACCTTTTCACCCTTGTGATCCCAAATTTACAGGTAAGAACTTTTGGGGAATAATTTTGAGAAGTGTGAAGTCATCCAGTTCTAGTTTTGGTTCTGCCACTTATGTATTATGCTATATATAATCCTTGATGTTCAAATTGCCTTCAACAGGCATTGTCTGCCTTGTCTATATAATGGAGATAATAATACTGACCTTGTAGAGTACAGTGTTAGTATTTATATTTAATATTATAATTAAGTTATATTAGCATGAATTGATGAATACTGTTCACTCAACTTGAATATTAACCCTAAACAATTTAAACATTTTGTCTTTCTTAATTCACAGTGATGCGATTGACTAAGCCTACTTTGTTCACCAATATTCCTGTAACGTGTGAAGAGAAAGACTTGCCTGGTATGTAAAGAAAAATTGAAGCTTGAGTTATCCACATTATTTTGAAAGAAGCTTACTCTTACCAGTTTTTTTTTTTTTTTTTTTTTTGGTTTTTACAACTCAGGGTTTCTCTGTATTATTTTGGAGGCTGTCGGTCCAGCCCGGCCTTGAACTCACAGAGATCTGCCTGCCTCTGCCTCTGCTCCCGAGTGCTGGGATTACAGGCGTGCGCCAACACCGCCTGGCTTCCCTTACCAGTCTTATATGAATCATTTGCTGAATTCTGTGTTGCCTGTACTTGTACCATGTGAATGGTGGCCATCTAAGAGATGGACTCATTTATAGCCTACAGTTAAATATGATATTATCTTTTGAAAACAAGAGACTTTGTGTTTAAGATACATTCATATCCAAACACTATCAGAATGTTACCTGTGTCCTCAAATATTTATTAGCATTGTGTTTAGAATTATTGGTGTTTCTAAAATGTATTTATGTCTTATGACCTACAATTTCCTTTGTCTTTTTGAAACATTTATTGAAAATTAGATCAGATTTTTTGAAATTTAATTTTGTTTTATTTTAGGGATAGGGTTTTGCTACATATCCCAAGGTGTCTTGAATTCTTGGTCCCTTTGTCCCAACCTACCAAGCGCTATGATTATATTTTGACATGAATTTTGTGGTAGTAAAGACTAGAAATGACATATTACATTGTAATGTATATAGAATTTCAATACTGTAACTCAAAAATGAGTATAAATATTGTATCTCATTTTTTGTTTTTGAGACAGAGACTCATAGAGCCCAGATTAGCCGGGAACTCACCATGAAACTGAGACTGGCCTTAAATTCCAATACCCCTGCCTCCCACTTCTGCTAGGATTTCAGACTCATATCTGTTTCGATAAAGTTAAAAATGAAAATGGTAGTACTATTTTTGTCCAGATCAAAAGGAAATCTGACACTCTCCCTCACCCACCTACCCTTGGTACTGGAGATCAAATCCAAGGCTTTATTGCTGCACTTTAGAGACATAAAGGACTCTCAGCTCAAGCAAAATCAGAATTGAGAGTCTGAATTATGCAGGCTAGCAACTGTCTAGTTAGAAACACTTCTCACAGAGCAGCCTCAAATGCATGTTACCAGGAGCTTTTAAAGCAAAGAACACAGAAAAGCTGCATCCTGTTTGACAGTTGCAAGGGGAATTAAAGCAAGCGAGCAAGCTGTTGAACAGAAGCTAAAAGCATACAGTTAGTGGAGCATTTTAACCCTGAGTTTCTAAATCAGGGTTGGGGACTTTCCCATGGAACTTTTCACAACTGGTACAGAAAAAGGGAATGTCAACTTCAGGTTAAATCAAAGATGCCTCCGGCTGAGACATGATGGAGGAAACTTTGCCTGGTCTCATTATGAATAGTGCTCCCCCACTGACCTGGCCACTGGTCCCCATTTCTTAAATAAAACTTGCTTTAAAGGTAGGTGCTAGAATTTTGTTTTTCTCTTGCTTCAGGTGATCTCTTTAACCAGTTAATGAGAGATGATCCTTCAACTGTAAATGGAGCAGAGATTTTAATGTTGGGAGAAATGTTGACTTTACCCCAAAATTTCGGGTAAGAATGATCAATTCACATAAGATGTACAAGGATATCCAAAAGCTTTTATGTCATATTTGTATGTGGAGTGGGAAAGCGTTGCTTGTTCAGTAAGGGGCTAAAACACATACAAATTGCTCTTGATAATTCTGTTTTTAGTTTTTAAAGCAATATAGAACAGTGTCTCAGTGTCAATAGTGGTTCTAAAATAATGGTAGTATTTTACCTGTGTTCTTTGGGGTGTGGCTAAAGCCGTACGTCTTGTCTACCCAGCACTGTTAGCATACCCCAGCCCCAGGTCTCATACTGACCATGACTCTGTGCTCTAGCCAGCACTGTTAACATACCCCAGCTCTAAGGTCTTATTCTGGTGGTGACTGTACATACCTTTAGTTGAACTAACTGACATTGCTAACTTTTTTAGAGCAGCTCTCTCACTGGGCCTCAGTCATACCTCTTTTCTACAGAACTTATCAGACTTACCAGCTAATAAACTCTAAATGTTTTTATTTCTTCTCTTATCCTATATTATCAATGTATTAAGAATCCTGTTTTCACAACTGAAAAATGTTGAGACAAAAAGGAATTCTTCCGGTTTGATGTGGTTTTTACATTTTTGCTTTTCCTAAGCTTACAGGGTGTGATCATAAACTAGTATCTTGCAAACTTGGAAAAGTATTGATGTAAAAACTATTAAAATTATATAGAGTAGTGGCTCAGCCCTTAAGAGCACAGGCTGATCTTCCCTGGATCCAATTCCTAACACCCACATTGCTACTCACAACTGCCTGTAACTCCAATTCCAGGACACCTGTCTTTAGTTAGGTTTTCTAGTGCTCTGAAGAGACACCATGACCACGGCAACTCTTAGAAAGGAAAACATTTAGTTGGGGTAACTCGGTTACAGTTCAAAGGTTCAGTCCATTATCATCATTGTGGGACATGGTGTGCAGGCAGATGTGGTGTTGGAGAAGTAGCTGAGAGTTCTACATCTTGCAGGCATCAGGAAGTCAACTGAGACACTGGGCAGTATCCTGAGCATAGGAAATTTCAAAACCCACCCCCACAGTGACATACTGTCGCACCTGCTGTGCGGCCTGCATCCGAGAATGTAGCGAGGTTGTCGGGATAGATGACACAGAGACCGGTCGGTTGCTTTAAGAAAAACTTTATGCTTCCCAAGTCAGCTTTAGGAGGAGATTCCAAGTCCGCTTAGGAGAGAGAAGTCTCTCCAGGAAAAAAGAGCTTCCCTTTTTAAGGACTTCTGTCATCCATCTACATACAATTCTTTCCAGACTTCTCACCCTCCTGGCTGGTGGTTTAATCTCCGGCCCCAGAATCGGGGAGACACAGCAGGGGGGGGACAGGAAGAAGCATGTAGCCATAGGGGGGGTGTCAAAGTCATGGTATTTTAGTGAGCAAGCCCTTATCTGAGCCCTATCAAGAGCTTTATAGCACTGAATTGTTTTCAGTAAACATTATCTCACAGCTGCCTGCTCCCAGGCCTAAGGGGAAGTGGGTTTCTGCTCAAGGTCTGGTGTCCCCACAACATACTTCCTCCAACAAGGCCACACCCACTCCAACAAAGTTACCCCTCCTAATAGTGCCACTCACTATGAAATTATGGCAGCCAGTTACATTCAAACTACCAAAACATCTAACTCTTCCTACTGGTCTGCTCAGGCACTACATGAATGTGGTGTACATGAATAGTTGCAGGCAAAACACCTGGTACACAAAAGTTAATAAAATATTTTCTAGAAGCTATATAGTGTAAAGCCAGTAGTCATTAGGAAAAATTCTCCTAGGTGAGTTAACCTGGAACTTCTAAATTTAGAGGGTAAGTTATTTAAAAAATGAAACTGACATTTTCTAGTGGATTCAGATATAAATCTTATGACAGCCCAGGTCTGATTACAGTGACCATTATTTCCAGGATGGCCAGAAATTTTTGCAGCATTTGACAGCTATATTACAGCATGTGTAATTACACTCTCACTTTGAAGGACTCTAAAGAAATATTTCCTGCACCCTTCAATAAATTTTCTTCCTCCTGAAGTTCTTACTTAACAGAGTGATTCCCTTAAGGACTGATGAGTTTCTGCCTAAAGTGCTGTTTCATTTCATAGGAATATATTTTTGGGGGAGACTTTTTCCAGTTACATCAGTGTTCATAATGACAGCAATCAAGTTGTAAAAGATATATTGGTGAAGGTAAGTGACATTCTTATTTACAAAGCATTTTATGTGGATAAAATTTTTATTTTAATGAGTCTTGGAAACCTCATTAAAATGCATGGTCAATACCATACTTTTAAATGTCATTGACAAACACTGATGAGTTCCAAATATGGAGGACTGTTACGAGCACTCTTTCTGGCAAGCCTAGTCCTACAGCCGCATCAGCCTCGAATAAACACTCAGAGACTCATGCTAATTAATTATAATATCATTGGTCAATGACTAGGGCTTCTTACTAGCTAGCTCTGTCTTAATTACTAACCCATTTCTATTAATCTAAGTATTTCCACTTGGTCTTATCTTACTCTTCTGGTAATGGCGACTGACCCTCTGCCTACACCTCCCGGAATCCTTCTCATCTCCTAGACCTGCCTATCTTGCTGCCCTATTGGCCACAGTGTTTTATTCATCAACCAGTAAGATAAACATATTTACAGAATGACATCTCCCATCAGAGCACACAGAACCATTTTCCTTCTATCCAAGGTTTCTAATAGCTGGGATGAGAAAATGACTATTCAGTCAAGTAATAGTTGTAGTGTTTATATGTGATTAATGTAATAGCACTTGGAAGCCTTAGGAGGAAACATGGAAGAGGTCACTTCCTTGTTGCAGCAAGGGACTGTAGAGGAAAGAAAGACAGGTAGGATTTAAGGGACGAGAACAGGGCAGAGGGAGTCAGACAGGGTGTGCATTTAGAGGAAAGCAAAATCACACATACCATGTCAGATGGTAAAGCTGTTTAGTGTAGTGTCATGAAAGCCAAGCTAAGACATTAGCCAAAAAAAAAAAAAAACCCAAACAAACGAACAGCCTTTAGAACAGTGTCACTGGGCTTTTACTAAAACTAGTCACAGTTTGTGTTAGGAAGACTGCTGTGATCACCTTGTGGGATGCTCTGTAGGAAACGGAATTGGAAGACTCTTGAGTAAGTTGAGAAATCTAACACTAGAATGTGCAAGTCCTTAGCAACTAGAAATGTATTCCAAAGAGAAAGGGCATAGGAAGTAAAAAGTCATTGTGTGGATGAATGGACAGAGAAAATGTGGCATGTATACACAAGAGGTCTGTTGCTGTAAAGAAAAGGAAGTGAGTGGAGCTAGAGATCATCATGATAAATATACCATGTACATGCATGCCCTCTGGAGGCCAGAGTGGGCATGAGATCCCCTGGAACTAGAGTTACAGATGAGCTGTCATATGGGTGCTGGGAACTGAACCTGGGTCCTCTGGAAACAATCAGTAGTAGTCTTACTGAACTATCTCTTCAGCCCAAACACATGGTTTTAAAGCACTTGTTAGATGGATATAAATTAGATGAGGTTTGCTTAGTAAACAGATACATATGTATAAATGCTTGACTAGGTAACCCTAAAAGTTAACCATTCAAATATACAAATATTTTAGGTGTTAGAGGCTAATTTAATGATAGAGGTAGAAAATATTGAAGTCATCAACTAAGAAAGTTTATATCTCTGGGCAGTGGTGGTGCATGTCTTTAATCCCAGCACTTGGGAGGCAGAGACAGGCAGATCTCTGAATTAAAGGCCAGCCTAGTCTACAGAATGACTTCCAGACTACATAGAGAAATCCAGGCAAAATACTCACACACATAAAGTTAAAACAGAATCTTAAGGGGGCTGGAGAGATGGCTCAGAGGTTAAGAGCACTGACTGCTCTTCCAGAGGTCCTAAGTTCAATTCCCAGCAACCACATGGTGGCTCACAACCATCTACAATTCAATCTGGTGCCCTCTTCTGGAAAAAAACACTGTATGTGTAATAAATAAATAAATCTTTTTAAAAAAAAACAGAATCTTAAAGAAAAATAAACACATGCTCAAGCTGAACATCATGGCTCATGTCTGGAAAAGTGGAAATTCAAAGTCCAACACAGGAAGTTCAAGGGCTAGCCTGGACTATATAAGACTCTGTCTCAAAGGAAAAAACAGAAAAAGAAAAGGAAAAAAAAAACCCTTATTTGTTCATACTGATGATTCAGTCAAGTCTAGCACGAAAGGTAACCGTGTAGACTGATTTTTTTCCTGATTTGTATATTTTTACTCCAGGGGTGATAATTTATCTTTCTTGTTATCCATAATCATATATACATACATATTTATATAAATACTTATATACATATGCACATACATGCATGTATACATATATGCATACTTAAATATATGTATGTGTATATACATGCATGCATATCCACAAATATTTACATGCTTGTCTAATCATGGTATGTGCACAAAATAAATTTGAAGATTGTTCCTTATAACCCTATGAAAATGAATGCACCGTATAACTTGTGTTGTCTTTTGACTAAGATTCTGTTTTCCAAGTTTAGGTTAGTTCTTGTCCCATCTCTTCCTCCTATTGTAGTTGTAGTCTTCATCCTAGTACTGTCAAATTCGTATGTTACTACTTGTATTGGTACTGGATTCTTCCTGCTGCTCCCTGGTTGGTTTCATTGATTGTTGGTATTGGAGTTTGAGTGTGTGTGTGTGTGTGTGTGTGTGTGTGTAGTCTTGCCATGGTTCTAAGCATGAATTATATAGAAAAGTTTTCACAACAAATGAGTGCTCTCTCTTTGTCCCTACTTCCTTACTGTTATTCCTCCCTTGATCCTTTTTTCAGTTTCTTTAATAGCATATATTAACGGTATAATTCAATGGGTTCCATTATGATATTTTTATATGAAACACACGATTACCCCTTTTTAGACCCCTCATCTCCCTGCTCCCTGGTCCTCTTCCTCTTCCTAGATTTGGTTATCCCTGCTATCCTTTCCTCCCATGCCCATCCATACCCTGCAGACGTCTAACCAACCTCATGTGGATACTTCTCCCTCTTTCTTTCAAGGCGGATCTTCAGACAAGTTCTCAGCGTTTAAACCTTTCAGCCTCCAATGCTGCTGTGGCTGAACTTAAACCTGATTGTTGTATTGATGATGTCATACACCATGAAGTCAAGGAAATTGGGACACACATGTAAGGATTAAGTTTACTACTTCTCAAAAGCTTTTATTTTGTCCTACCTTGACAATCAAATAGAGAACCAAAGAAGACAAGGTATAAAGAAGTCTCGAGTTTTGCATTCCTGGCCTATGAATGTATTTGAATCTGAACACTGTTTTTCAATCATTTCATCCCTCCATTATTTAGGCTTCTCAAGCTCCTATGGCATCCCCATGCCAGTCACTCACAGAAGCCAACTATCTCTTCAAAGGATTTCTCATTCTTCTTCTCTCTGCCTCCACCATCGCTTTTCTTCATTGTATCCATTAAAGCATATAATGCAGCCAACAGTCAATCAAATTTGTATCTAATTATTTGATCAAATGTTTTCCCCACAGCTCTTTTTTGTTTTTTGTTTTTTTGTTTTTGTTTTTCGAGACAGGGTTTCTCTGTATTGTTTTGGAGGCTGTCCTGGAACTCACTCTGTAGACCAGGCTGGCCTCGAACTCATAGAGATCCGCTTGCCTTTGCCTCCCGAGTGCTGGGATTAAAGGCATACACCACCAACACCCGGCTCTCCCCAGCTCTCTTAAAGGCACTTTTTTACTTTATATTCTGAGATAAATATAAACTTTGGATTAAAATTTCCTAGAAGCCAAATTGCTGGGCCACTGTTTATTAATCACTTCACTTTTGAAGATTTCCCATTGGCTTTTGGAAATTCTGACTGTATATATGCTTTTCAAAGCTGTCTATAACATAATCCACCACCTATGTCATTCTCCCTTCTCTTTCTACAGTACAGCCATATGGGTGTTCTATTAACTCCAAAGTCATTCTGTGATGTGAAATGTGTTTGCTTACTACCTGTGGCATTTTGTATAATTTCTTGTATCTCAGCAACAGCATGACTTCCTCAAAGAAGCTGTCCTAACCTTTGTATATAGTTTCCACAACCCCTTGGTTTTTCTGTCTTTTGTCTTTACAGTTACTGATGGGTTAAAATATGAATTCTGTGTAGCCTGTATAGCCCAGAGAAATACCAGAGAACAGGGGTTCATAGTCACTGAAGCTGAACTTCCTGGAGTAGTTGTGTAGAGTCACCATTCTATAGGAAATGAACTAAACAACAGCTTTAAAAGACACAGAACTCAAGGCTAGTCTCTAAAACTGTGACTGATGTAGTATTTCTGTTCAAGCCTCGTCTCGAAACCTGTAGATGCTATAGTACTACAGGTTATGTGAGCACTTCCAGGGAAGGTATTGTGGAGGGCTATCTCTGGTTTTTGTTTCTGTGTGTATGTGCGCACACGCGATCACATGCGTGCGCTTACAAGCATATGCATGCATGGGTTTTTGTTTGCTTGCTTGCTTGTTTGGGGTGTTTTCTTGTGTTGAGATGGGGTTATCACTGTTTGATCAAAATGCTGTTAAACTTGATACATGACTAAGCTGTGCTCGAGCTTATAATCCTCCTGCCTCACCTTCCCCTACTAGGATTAGAAGCATATGCCACTCTATCCAGCTCGGGTATTATGTGTTGATCAACTTGCTTTCTAGCCCCTATCATCAGTATAAGACACCAGTATTAAGGAATAAATTAAATGACCTAATGTTACCAAGCTGTGTAGAGCTACTAAAAGATTATTTTTCAGTCATTTTATATGCATATAAACATATATACATAAAATGTATATATTTATACCAAGCTGTGTAGAGCTACTAAAAGATTAATGTATTTCCATGTTTTATATGCACATATATGTATACACATTGCATACATAAATATGTGTCTTTATGTCTATGCATAGTAACATATATGTAATATATCACTCAAGCTTTTATCCTTTTCAGTTTACTGTGAATATTTTTCTACATCTGTCAGTATCCTTGAAAACATGATTTTCTAAATGACTGCCTCTTCTGGGTTTGGTCAGTGTGGTTTGTTTACCCTAATATCATAATATATTTTCAGATTTTTGCTACTATAAACAACAAAATAGTAAGTAGTCCAATATTGCCTTTGAAGTCTTGAAGTAGATGTTCTTTATGAATACATCAACATTTTTAAGGCTTTAAACCAAAAAATTGTTTCTAAATTTCTTTCACCATCTGGCAATGCAAAGAAACTAACTTTCTCTAGCCCTCCCCAACCCAAGGGATTCTTGCCAAACCTTGTAAGACTGAAAATGTTATCTCATTATTTTAGCTTCTGGACTATGTGTGTGACTTACCATTTCACGTTTTTATTGACTATTTATAGGATTGTAATTTATCTGTGCATTTTCATAATCTGGATGTGCATTCTTCCTCACATCTGAGTGACACACTTGTACTTTATTGATTAAAATAGAAGAACCGTTTGTTGCTGGGCGTTGGTGTCGCTCACCTTTAATCCCAGCACTCGGGAAGCAGAGGCAGGCAGATCTCTGTGAGTTCAAGGCCAGCCTAATCTACAAGCAAAATCCAGGACAGGCTCCAAAACAATACGAGAAACCCTGTCTGGAAAACCCAAAAAAGCAAGGAGGGGGGGGGAGAAGAACCCTTTGTATATTAACAATTTACTCATCTTATCATGTTATTAGAAGCATTTTATGCTAGCTTTTTAAATTGTTTTAATGGGTTTTGTTTTGTTGAGACTCACTGTGTATCCATGACTGGACTAGAACTCATCTACCTGCCTCAACCTCTGCCCTTCAAGTGCTGGAATTAAAGGCATATGCCATCTAGCTTTCCTAGTATTTTGATTAAACTTGTACGTAGTTCCCCCTTAGTATCATGTTAACTCTTCCCTGGGTTTCCTTTAAGATACATTTTTTTTCTGGTGCAAATGAGCTCTTTCCCCTTCATGCTTATTTATTCTGGAAATTATTTTGGAACATATTCTACTTCCAAATAACGAATTTAGCATTCCTATTCCAGAAGTGCTAGGTATCTATTTTTTACCTCTTAAAAAAAGTATATGTATGTGTGTGAGACTGTGTAAATATATTTATTACATTGGGTGTGTACAGGACCCAATGGGGGTTGGAAGAGGGTTTCAGATCCCTGGGAACTGGTGTAAACGGGCTGTTAGGAGCAGTCCTGTGAGTGGAAAATCAAACACATATCCTCTGCTAGCGCAGGAGTAACCACTGAATCATTTCCAGCCCCTGGATCTCATTTTCTCAGAGAACTTTCTCGTTCATGTATTGATATCCATCTATATATACTAAAACTTTTTTCCTGATGTAATCTCACTTAAATGCAGTTTCACATTGTTGCTATAATATTTTTTACATTTTATAAGTAGAATTGAAGTACATTAAATTTATTATTAAGTGAGATGGGAAATGATTCTAGAATATTAAGGTATCTTTCTGTTTCAGACTGGTGTGTGCTGTGAGTTACACAACTCAGGGTGGAGAAAAAATGTACTTTAGAAAATTCTTCAAATTTCAGGTATTGAATATGGCAGAGATGAAGTTGTTTGGAAGTGTCATTATTCCTCTTATTCCGGGGTGAAACAAGTTTCAAATAAATCAAATAGCTCACTCACATCTTGGGTTCAAAAGTCAGACTAAGTTAAGTTAAGTTCTTCAAACATAAATTATCACCAGTGTAATGTTTTTATAATAAAATGAAGCATTTTATTTAAATATAAAATCTTATTGATGAGACAAAACACAAAAATATAAAAAGAGATAAAATGAATATAAAGCCCAAATAATCATTGAAAATAGCTTTAAATGTCCAAGGAATTATAGCCAGATCTTGGAAGCAGCCTAGATGCCCCTAAACTAAAGAATGGATAAAGAAAATGTGGTATATTTACACAGTGGTAAGAGACAATGACATCCTAAAATTCACAGGCAAATGGACAGAACTAGAAAAAACCATCCTAAGTGAGGTAACCCAAAACCAGAAAGACAAATATAGTATGTACTCACTCATAAGTGTATACCAGACATAAAACAAAAGATACCCAGCCTATAATCCACAACCCCAGAGAAGCTTGAGCCCTCTTCCAGAAACAGATGGAAGCAGATGCAGAAATCCACAACTAACCAATGGGCCAAGCTCCTGCAGTACAAATCAAAGTCAGGGAGGAGCAGAAATATGAACAAAGGTGTCAAGACCATGATAGAGAAACCCACAGAATCAGCTGATCTGAGCTAACGAGATCACTGACTCGGGTATGACAAATGGGGAACCTGCATAAGACTGAACTAGACTCCCCGAATATAAGTGACAGTGGTGCAACTGGGACGATATGTGAGGTCACTGGCAGTGGGGGTAACACTAACACAGGGGTGTGGGGATAGGGAGGTGCCTTGGTTCTGCCTCAACTAGATGATGGGACAGACTAAGTAGATTTCCTATGGGAGGTCTTACCCTCTCTGTGGAGCAGATGGGAAGGGGGGGAGTGGAGGGATTGGGAGGGAAGGAGGCAGAGGGAACTGAGATTGGAATGTAAAAAGTAAATTAATAAGCTGGGCATTGGTGGCGCATGCCTTTAATCCCAGCACTCGGGAGGCAGAGGCAGACGGATCTCTGTGAGTTAGAGGCCAGCCTGGTCTACAGAGCTAGTTCCAGGACAGCCTCCAAAGCAATACAGAGAAACCCTGTCTCAAAAAAAAACAAAAAACAAAACAAAACAAAAAATTAATAAAAAATATCCTAAGGATCATTTAAACGAAAAAATTACTGATTGTTTTCCAGGAATATTGCATATACACTAAAAAATAAATCTTTAATAATTAAAATTCGATATGGCTTTGAGTCATTAAAGCCTGTGATTTAAAACAAAAAGTTGTTTCGAATTTCCTGATTGATGTGCTTTGTTTTGACTAGGTCCTCAAACCATTGGATGTGAAAACCAAGTTTTACAATGCCGAGGTAAGTGTTATGTACTTAATAAGATGTCAATAAACATTGAAATCTTAACTGAAAATCAGAGGTGTTACATTTCCTGTCATGATGAAATAAACTTCTGATATAACAACAAATTGAGATAATAAGCCTAAATTTTAGTAAAGAGGCGAATTTCATTAATTCTTTGTTCAGCTGACATATAATCAGTGTATTTGATTTCTACTCTCATGATTTTCTAGAGCATTCACCCCTTTTGTTAAACATCTGCCCTGCAATCCTCCATAATGGTGGTGGTGGTGTTTTCAAACACTAGCAATCTGCTGAATATTTGCAGTGACTTTGTGGATGTTACAAGATTCAAGTGGCAGGCATAGACTCAATATCTATGCGAAGAGAGATGCATGCAGCAAGTCCTCCCTAGGAAGTCAGTGTACCAAATAGAGCTGGGCACCGAGTGCCGTAAAAACTTACTGGGAAAGCCTTGTCGAACAAAATGGGAGAAAGTAACTTGAAGAGTAGAACATGATCTGTTCTTTAGCATAGAGAAAAACTAAGTGGGACTTAGTTTGGAATCCTCCTCCTCCCAAATTCTCTATTACCTCCAGAGCTGCAGAAAATGAGATGTCAGCTAGGAATGGTGTGCACTTGCCTGTGATCACTAAGGGATGAAGAAGCAAGTGGATGGTGAATTAGGCCAACTGTGCTGAACAGTGAGCTAGAGATCACCCGGAGATATATATAGTGAGACCTTGGCTTGAAGAAAAAAGAGGAAGCCTTTTGTGAAAATGTCTATGATAAATTAAGAATTACTCAAATGCAGTATTATGTTGTGGATCGTATCTTTTACTCATACCACAGGGTGATCAGAAATTTGCAATCCTGCCACACTGTCTCTCAGTATAGCTTGTGTGTTGTAGCTGGAATTGTTTAGCTGTCACAGTAAATGAACCTAACCTGTAAATATTTACTAGAGGAAAGGAAAAAGGCATATAATTAACAAAATGACTTACGTAGGATAACAATGGGTAAGAAGTTGGAGCAGTCATTGGGAAAACAAAAATGAAGAGTTGAAAAGAGCTCTATGGTCTTAAAGTGTCTCAAAATTACAAGTTAGACAGATAAATACCATTCAGCCAATAGTATGGCTCAAATTGTGTATTTTAAGTAGTTAGTAAGCCACATCATTGTGAATGACTAGTACACTATGTCACATAGTGACATAGTTCACTATGGTCCCTGTGCGATGTTTTGAAACTATTTCTGATCTTGCTAATGTGAATCATCTAAAGAAAAACTGGCTTCATGAAAAATTCCATTATAGTTTTCTATGCTAGAAAAGTCTTGTAGGAAGATACAGAAATTAGTAGCTGAGAGTCAGGCATTTGGTCACCTGCTGGGTTCAAAGTCCTGTGTCAGGTGTGGAAGCAAAATAATGTAAGCAGGTATCTTCCCTAGCCTCAGGACACTTTCTCTGGTAGAAGGGGCTGCATAATGTAACCACAATACATGTGACTCCCTGTGTCCGAAACAGTGACATGTATTCATGCTTCAGGAACAGAACAGTGACGCATTATCACCATCTATACACTTGATGAAGGAGGTGTCATTTGACATTGGACTTAATAAATATACTTTTAAATATGTACTTATATAGTGCATAATAGACTAAATTATAATAGTGATAAAAAGATAATAAACTGAATTGTCTGGAATGGTCTATCCCAGCATTTCCTGAATTATAACCTGTGACAGCTTCATGGTAACGTTAATCATCCAAGATCCTCCTCTAGGAAAAGATTCCAGCATTAGGTAAATTCAAGAGAAGCCTTATGATGTTCTGTTCTCAATGTGAGATGGAGTATACGTCCACCTGAGGTATGGAGAATACAGCACAGGTAAACAATGTACAGCAGGAGAGAGCAGGACAGTGAAGAGTTACAGAGAGAGCAGGATAGTGAAGAGTTAGAGAGAGAGAGAGAGAGAGAGCAGGACAGTGAAGAGTTAGAGAGAGAGAGAGAGCAGGATAGTGAAGAGTTAGAGAGAGAGAGAGAGCAGGACAGTGAAGAGTTAGAGAGAGAGAGAGAGAGAGCAGGACACTGAAGAGTTAGAGAGAGAGAGAGAGAGCAGGACACTGAAGAGTTAGAGAGAGAGAGAGAGAGAGAGAGAGAGAGAGAGAGCAGGACAGTGAAGAGTTAGAGAGAGAGCAGGACAGTGAAGAGTTAGAGAGAGAGAGCAGGACAGTGAAGAGTTAGAGAGAGAGAGCAGGACAGTGAAGAGTTAGAGAGAGAGAGCAGGACAGTGAAGAGTTAGAGAGAGAGAGCAGGACAGTGAAGAGTTTCAGAGAGAGAGAGCAGGACAGTGAAGAGTTAGAGAGAGAGAGCAGGACAGTGAAGAGTTACAGAGAGAGCAGGACACTGAAGAGTTAGAGAGAGAGCAGGACAGTGAAGAGTTACAGAGAGAGAGAGCAGGACAGTGAAGAGTTAGAGAGAGAGAGAGCAGGACAGTGAAGAGTTAGAGAGAGAGAGAGCAGGACAGTGAAGAGTTAGAGAGAGAGAGAGCAGGACAGTGAAGAGTTAGAGAGAGAGAGAGCAGGACAGTGAAGAGTTAGAGAGAGAGAGAGAGCAGGACAGTGAAGAGTTAGAGAGAGCAGGACACTGAAGAGTTACAGAGGAAAGCAGGACAGTGAAGAGTTAGAGAGAGAGAGAGCAGGACAGTGAAGAGTTACAGAGAGAGCAGGACAGTGAAGAGTTAGAGAGAGAGAGAGAGAGCAGGACAGTGAAGAGTTAGAGAGAGAGAGCAGGACAGTGAAGAGTTAGAGAGAGAGAGCAGGACAGTGAAGAGTTAGAGAGAGAGAGAGCAGGACAGTGAAGAGTTAGAGAGAGAGAGCAGGACAGTGAAGAGTTACAGAGGAAAGCAGGACAGTGAAGAGTTAGAGAGAGAGAGCAGGATAGTGAAGAGTTAGAGAGAGAGAGAGAGCAGGACAGTGAAGAGTTAGAGAGAGAGAGCAGGACACTGAAGAGTTAGAAAGAGAGCAGGACAGTGAAGAGTTAGAGAGAGAGAGAGCAGGACAGTGAAGAGTTAGAGAGAGAGAGCAGGACACTGAAGAGTTAGAGAGAGAGCAGGACAGTGAAGAGTTAGAGAGAGAGAGCAGGACAGTGAAGAGTTAGAGAGAGAGAGAGCAGGACAGTGAAGAGTTAGAGAGAGAACAGGACAGTGAAGAGTTAGAGAGAGAGAGAGCAGGACAGTGAAGAGTTAGAGAGAGAGAGCAGGACACTGAAGAGTTACAGAGGAAAGCAGGACAGTGAAGAGTTAGAGAGAGAGAGAGCAGGACAGTGAAGAGTTACAGAGGAAAGCAGGACAGGTAACGACTGTGTACAACCAGGTTAGTTGGCAGACTCTTCCCTTTTTGTTCTTGTTAAGTATTCAGCCATAATGTTCTTCCCTGTCCCATTGTCATGTAACCGTAGCAATTTCACCTTTTAGAAAAATAGTTTGTCATATTTCTGTATGTTGCTTCCTGTTTACTTTCTTGTTTACTAATGCTGTCTTTAGTGAGTAAAAAAATGCAGAGATGCATTTTATTTTAAAGTTCTTTTTCTTTAACATTTAACTCTGATTTTTCTAATTTTTCTTTTTTATTTTTCCATTAGAGTGACCTCAGTTCTGTGGTAATTTCATTTTTTATTATAAAATATATGCTTTTCTCACCCCTTTTGACTTTGCCTAATTAATCTCTCTGCAAAACATAGTGGAAAAACAGTTAGTTGTGAATAGTAGGTCTGTGACTTCAAAAAGAAAATACACAGCTTGAGTATACTTTTAAATTGTTTATCTGTGAAATTAAAGATTAAATTGTCACATTGAGATTACTGCATTCTCACTTTTGGTTTCTTTGGGTTTTTTTAAAAGGAGACATAAAATCTCATTATCTTTTATCCTTGGGATTTCCAATATTTTGCTGTGAAATGTCTAAATACCTTTTGTCCTTACAAAGAATATACAGTTGAAATTTATTTTAAGATACACAGTGGTTTTACATCTGGGTTAGGTAAAGCTGACCTTTTGACAAAAGCAAGCAAAAGCAAAGCGCATTTCCCATACTGTCTGAATTCCTGTTTCCAACTTTCTCTTCACAATAAGCAGCATTTGCTTGTTATGTTACATGTGCAGTAACACCATTGGCAGCCTGAGCACTGAATTCTCGTCCTAGTTTCTCAGATGTCAGACTACTTGGTACTAACTGTTCACACTAACTTGGTTTTCCACTATGCTGCTCTCCTTTCCTTTTCTCTAGCTGTTCATCAAATTACACAGAGAATTGCATTTTAAAACGGAAATGTGGGCCTTGGGTTATTTTAAGAGCAATGGATTTATGGGATATATTCACTTATTTTTTTTAAGAAAAAGTAATTGAGCTGGATGTACTGGTGCATGCCTTTGATCCCAGCACTAAGGAGACAGAGGCAGGAGCATCTCTGTGAGTTCAAGGCCATCCTGGTCTACAGAGTGAGTTCCAGGACAACCAGGGCTATTACAGAGAAACCCTGTCTCGAAAAAAAAAAAAAAAAAAAGGAAAAAGTAATCAAATGTTAGTTTAAATGGTACATTGTTTAGCCAGGTATGGCACACATTTTTAGTCACCAGCAATTGGAAGCCATCCTTGTCTACATAGTTCTAGGACAGTCAGAGCTAATTGAGATGCTCTATCTCAAAACAAAAACAAAAAGGTACATTGTTTAAAAAAAATCCTTGTAGCTGGGCGTTGGTGGCGCACGCCTTTAATCCCAGCACTCGGGAGGCAGAGGCAGGCGGATCTCTGTGAGTTCGAGGCCAGCCTGGTCTACAAAGTGAGTTCCAGGACAGCCTCCAAAGCCACAGAGAAACCCTGTCTCGAAAAACCAAAAAAAAAAAAAATCCTTGTACTAATATTTTCATTTGAGCACGTGTCTAAAGGCTAAAGAATCTGTTTAAGGAACATTAAATTATAACTTCGTTATATTTTACATGGTTGTCATTTTTCTGACTTCAGCATTTAAAAAGCTCATAATTCCCCCAATTTGAGGACATAGTTAATTTCCAAGTTCTATAACTAAAATATTTGGGAGAAGGAAAGTTAATTTCTGAATACTCTTAGCATAGCAACTTTATTCTTCAGTCACTCAGAGGAGACCCAGAACCTAAAGGCATGAAATTAAGGATGTTTAACAGAAATAACCAGGGAATTCAATATTTTTGTGACTTGAATATTTAAGCCACCCACTGACTCAAATGAATGATGTCATTTTGAAATTGTTAAAGTCCACAAATTACTTCAGTATGACTGGTTTGTCATTATGCCACTTCCCATACTCTTGTTTCAGCCTTAAATGTCTGTATAAAGTGAACCAAGAAGTGACTAAGACTACTTATAAATTGCTTTAATTTAAGAAATTATACCCTAAAGGGTATAAAAAAAGATTATTCACAGCTAGTGGTATTGTGTCAATTGAATCAATTATATATTAATTACATTATGCCAGAGTAGTCAAATGAAGACCTCATTACCTTCCCTTAGTCTGAGTGTGCCCATCACACTGAAGTTTCTTTTAATATTTTAACATCTTACCCAATTTGAACTTTTTGTTGTTACAAAAATACTAGCTAAACACATGCTTTTGGATTCTACCAAATATATCCTTGCTATCCCACATCCATTGTTTGACAGGGTACCTGTTGACTAACACCTCACTTTGCTCCTGTTTATTATGTTAGGATGAAGATTTCTTTTCTTGCATTAATTGTGATAATTTTGATTTGCAGGCATGAACTAATCACAGTTGTGGTTAATATTTGTTCATATAAGTAAGATATTTTCATTAAGATAAATACTGTAAATACCATGACATTTTGGTGGGTTTTTTTTTTCCATGTCCTCAGACTGATGAAGTCTTTCTTGAAGCCCAAATTCAGAACATTACAACCTCACCTATGTTTATGGAGAAAGTTTCACTGGAGCCATCGATAATGTACAATGTAACAGAATTAAATTCGGTGTCCCAAGCCGGGGAATGGTAAATATGCAATGTTTGCTGCTACATGGAATGATGCAGGCTTTTCTGATGACCCCTAGTCTAGTAAATTTCGATTTGTTTTGACATTTTTGGTGGACATAATTTTTAGAGAAGTTTTAGATTAATCAAACCCTTAATGAGAAAGTAGATGTCTTCCCCAGTCAGTTTCTCCTTTTGGTTGGTTTTCCTATGTGCCTTTTGCTTGTTGTTTGTTTTAAAGCCAGGCTCTCTCCGTGGTGCCAGACTAGGCCCAAGCTAGCCTTCTGCAACAGCTTCCCCAGGAGTATCACCATACTCCATCGCGCCCAGCTCTCCCGTCTTGTATTAATGTAGCACGTTATGATTGGTGGGCCAGTGTTCATTCTTCTTAATACAAACAAAAGCTCACAGTTGAACTCTATGTGACACATACACAGTAAGATTGAACAAGTGCGTAACGGCATGTCTGCCACTGCTAGTGAGTTTTCCTCACACCTACCTGGACTGCCCTCTACAAAAATATCCTTTTTCCTGTCTTGTGTTGCACTGTTTGTTCAAAGCCCTTGTTCATTCTCTCTCTGTCTCTCTCTCTGTCTCTCTCTCATTATCTCTATCTCTGTCTGTCTGTCTGTCTGTCTGTCTATCTACATCTCACAGAGATCTGCCTGCCTCTTTTCTCAGTTGCTGGAATTGAAGGTGTGTGCCACTACCACCTGGCTACACTTGTTCTCTAACTTTCATATTTCATCCAGATAAGTATGAAACTATCATTATTATCCTACAAATGATAAAGCTGAAACATGGGAAGGATAGTGGAGAAGATATTAGGAAATAAAGATAGAGCGAGTGTCAATTTGAAAAAGAAATTTACATGTAAAAAGATATGGACATCAGAATAGATGATTTTAATTATTGTGTTTAAATATTGTGGGAAAAGTATACATGTCTTTCTTTCATTAATTTAACTTTGTTTTTTATGTGCATTGGTGTGAAGGTGTCAGATCCCCAGGAACTGGAGGTACAGATAGTTGTGAGCTGCTGTGTGGGTGCTGGGAACCGAAGCCCAGTCCTCTGAAACTTAGCTGCTGAGTCATCTCTCCACCCCAACATGTCTTTCTATAGCTATTTTGGAAGAGAAGGAACAAATGAATGTATTATTAGTGTAGGTGAGGAGGTACTAGCTGGAGAGAGTGCCTGAGTTTCCTAGCAATAATGATTCTAGTACTTGCCAGTAATAAAAAGCTTGTGTGGAGGTAAGATACAGAAAGGTTGACAGCCTCCTTTACTGTTCATTCTTCATTCATTTGGAAAGCAGCTTCTCACATTGGAATGGTGTCTCCAGGTGGTAGTGTTGCTGAGCTTTTAGCACTTGCCTAGCATATAAAGCACCCTGGGTCTGTCCCCGGTTCCATACAAAGAAACAATAGAATATATTGCTCTGTTTCTAAGCTAGTTTCTCTCTGCCTCCCCAATTCCTTTTTTGTGGGAGGGGTGCTACCGGGAAACTGACCCAGTTCCTCACACATGCTAGGCAAGTGCTGACCACTGAGATAGCCCCAAGCCCCTGTTTTACTTTTTTATTTTGAGACAGAGTCTTACTAAGTTGCCCAAGATGGCCTCGAACTCACTGTCTCACCAGGCACACATTTCTTTTCATTTGGATTGAAACCTCTGACCACTCCTACATCTCTGTGCAGTAACTCATCCAATTCCTATCTAAAAGAACTAGCCACATAAGCCAGGCGTGGTGGGGCACACCTTTACCACTTGAGAGGCAGAGCTCTGTGAGTAGGAGGCCAGCCTGGTCTACAGAATGAATTCCATGACAGCTAGGGCTACACAGAGAAACCCTAACTCAAAAAAAAAAAAAAATAATAAGAAAGAAGAAGACTTGACCACGTACGTGAATAGCTTTTCTGCAGAAAGATGCTAACAGATTTTTCTTCTATTTCTCCACTTGCCAGTGTGTCTACATTTGGATCCAGAGGATATTTGCAGCCAATGGATACACGCCAGTACTTATACTGCCTAAAGCCGAAGAAGGAGTTTGCAGAAAAAGCTGGCATCATTAAGGGAGTGACAGTCATTGGAAAATTGGACATAGTGTGGAAAACAAACCTAGGTGAAAGGGGAAGGTTACAGACCAGCCAGCTTCAAAGAATGGTGAGTCTAGAAAACAGGGCAGTGTGGGGTTGGGTGTGCAAAGGACAGGCAGGTCATTCAGCTTAGCCCTAAAAAGCAGAGCACCATGAAGTCACCCAGGTTTCTAGAAAATACTAATAGCTGTGTTGGTCCCTAGGAGAAAACTAGTGTTGAGATTCATAGAAATGTTCCGTTAGATGTTGGCTTCTCTTTAGTATCTGTATATTTTTTTAAACTTCATCAAACAGGACTTAAGATAGCTGCTTATCAGCATTTTTTTGGGAGGGGGTGTGGGATTTTCAAGACAGGGTTTCTCTGTGTAACAGTCCTTCCTGGCCATCCTGGAACTCACTTTGTAGATCAGGCTGACCTTGAATTCACAGAGATCTGCCTGCCTCCCAATTGCTGGAATTAAAAGCCTGCGCCACCACCGCCCAATGCTCACTGTTCATCTGACTCAGATTACATTGAGGTATTCTGGCCAATGTCCTGAACCTCATAGACTTACAGCGCTTGCCTACTGTTTTCGCCTTGGTTGTCATTGTTTTGAGACAAGGTGTCACTGAGTAGTCCTGGCTGGTCTGCAGCTCAGCAACCCTTTGAGATCAGATCCCCTAAGTCATCTCATTCCTTATCTAGAGGCAAGATTCATCTTATTTCTACTGAGCCTGTAGTAATTACCACAAACAATCTGGGTCTGCAGAGTTGTGCCACCCAAGCTCACTGCATAAGAAGTGAGAGTGAGAGACCCGAGCAGGGCCTCAGTGTTTTCACAGAGCATCAGTGTGGAGACCTGTGTCTGTTGAGAAAATGGTGCTGTGTGGCACCTTCATTAACATCAAAAGGTTATTTTAACCGTGTTACTTTTTTCCCACAGGCTCCAGGTTATGGAGACGTTAGGCTATCCTTAGAGGCCATTCCAGATACCGTGAACCTAGAAGAACCTTTCCATATTACCTGTAAAATCACAAACTGCAGGTAATGCCAATGTGTGTGACTGGGCCTCCTTTCTCCTCACCTAAAAGTTCTTGCAAATCCTTTAATTATCCCCCTACCCTCTTTTAGTTTTCTGAGACAGTGTCTCTGTATAGCCCTAGCTGTCCTGGAATTTACTCTGTAGACCAGGCTGGCCTCAAACTCCCCAGTGCTGGGATTAACAGGGTGCATGCGCCTCTGTACTCTTTTATATATCCTGTCCCTTCTTATATTGAATACTATAACATTGCTGAGACCCTAGTATTTACTTCCTGTGTTCTATTTTCATTCATTAATCATAATATGTGGTGAGTATTAATTATTGATAGTCCATGGAAGAGAGCTAGAAAAGGCCACATTTAAGCAGCATTTGAGAGAAAGATACCATGTGACAGAGCTTGGGTGGAGGGGTTTTTTACTGGGGGAAAGTGAATGGGAAAGGGGAGACTAGCCTCTGGGGACAGGAGTGGCAGAAGAGAAGAGAGAGGCAGAGGAGGGTAGGAGAGAGAGAGAGAGATAGGCAGAGAGAAAGAGAGGAGGATGGGAGGTGGACAGGGCCCTTTTAAAAGGGAACATAGTGAATGTGCACAGGTAGTGCTCTTAGTAGCTGCAACTGAGGGCATATCCTGTCAGAACCCCAAGGACAGGCCTGAATACTAACAGTGAAGATTTAGAATATTCAGATACATTTCTCTGATGCTTGAACCAGAGCCATGTCTTTAATATTAATAAGAAGAAATGTTAAAATAAGAAGTACTTCTAAGTTGGAAAAATGATTCTGGCTTTTGTCTATTGCCTATTTTCTTTGGTAGTGTTCTCTAACACAGTCTTGTTATATAGCCCAAACTAACTTGAACTTGTAGTCTTCTCCTGAGTCATGGGAATGCAGGCTAAAGATTTTTGTCTTCTTTTGACACGGTCTTACTGTGTAGCCTTAGCTTGGCTAGAACTGCTATATAGACCAGGCTGATGTCAAATTCATAGAGATCCACTAGCCTTTTTCTCCTGGAATGATGGGATTAAAGGTATCCACCACCACACCCAGCCGTGAAGCAGTTTTGGCAGTAAACAGAAGAAGCAAATCATAGACAGCTTAAAGCATAAAAGAATTATATTCTAGCAAAGTGGTCTTGCTAATTCTTACATTATTGGTTTGGAATCACCCTTTTAGTATAGCTGTATAATCACTTTACTTTTATACTCATCCAATCCTATATTCTAAGGATATAGGAAATGTCCTTCAAAATTACAGAAATGCCTGATTCTCTATGAAGCTACTAGTAATACACCACTACTACTATTACTACTACTACTACTGCTACTACTACTTGGTTGTTGTTGTTGTTGTGTTGAGCAGGGTGCCTAACCCAGGCTGAGGATGACCTTGAACTTCTGATCTCCTAACCCCACTTCTCAGGTCAGGTGCCCAGTAGGATTACAGGTGTGCACTACCATGCTGTTCTTGGCATGCTAGGGATCAAACCTGGGGCCTTGTGGATGCTAGGGATTGCTTCCAACTGAGCTGCATTCCCAGCCCCTCAGTCTCTTTCATAGAAAGTTATAGTTAGTTTTGCGGTAACATCCGTGTGTTGCTGTCTTTTATTCAGGAGAGTTTACATACGGTGCTTGCTGACCATGTGATCTCGGTGAACACCCAGGCAAAGATGGGCAAATATAGGGGACATCCAGGGAACTTTTATGTTGAAGTTTTTGAAGGTTGTCAAAAAAGCTTATTGACTAACTGAACGTACTGTAAAAATTTTTAAACTAATTTTTTGATGTTTGTTTTAATATAGTGGTTTTCAGAACCACTTGAACAGTTTCAATTTCATTTCCTCATCTATAAAAATCAAATCCTGAATACACAAGCATGTGGATACAGACATACAACATACAGTATAAAAACATGGCAGAGGGCAAAGGGAGAAACCCCGTTGGTGGAGTGCTTTACTAGGATGTAAAGTGCCCTGACTTTGATCTCTAGCTGGCCACACATACTTGTAACACCAGCACTGGAGAAATAGAGGGAAGGGACCAAAAGTTCGAGGTTATCTTTGGCTACAAAGAGAGTCTGAGGGCTGCCCAGGGTACAAGAGACCTAGTCTCCACACTCTTAGGGGTTAGATTGCTTAGTGGTCAGGGCACTCACTGCTAAGCATGACCTGAGTCTGAGTCCCAGAACCCACACAGAAGAAGGACAGAGCCACATGCACACCTGCACATGCACACATACATGAAATAAATAATAAGTAAATAAATAATAAATAGAGCAGTGTGTGTTAGAGTACTAACAACTTCCTGGGTTTTTATAGAATTTACTGAGAAAATTGTGTTGTGCATCTAAAATGGTTTCTAACACAGGGCATTTCTAATGTTTGTTAGAGAGATAGAAACATGTAAAAGCAAATATAATTTTAATATATAAGTTAAATTCTAAGTAAATATTAAAATAGGAGACAAATCCTAAGACACAAAGCTGAAGAACTGAATGTAATGGCGATAGACTAGGAATCTGGTCTTTCTGAACATTTAGTGTAATTTCGTGAAAACTTTGAAAATGATCATGCATAAGCTGAACTAGTGGTGCCTGCCAGGAGAGGAGTCTTTATGGGGACCAGTGAGCAAGCATGAATGGCTTTTACTTCTGAGTCCTACCAGTCATTTCCTGTTAGTTGCAGGCTAAGAAAATAAACTTACTGAAAAACAGAAGGAATGTGATGGTGTCTCCTTAGGAAATAAACAAGATTCATTACTGTTCTCTGATTGCTTCAGCAGTGAAAGGACGATGGATCTGGTCCTGGAAATGTGCAATACCAATTCTATCCACTGGTGTGGGATTTCAGGAAGACAACTGGGAAAGCTGCATCCAAGCTCCTCACTCTGCCTGGCCCTGACTCTCCTGTCTTCAGTCCAGGGCCTCCAAGTACGTCCTCTTTTTGGTGATCAACAGGATGGGCTAAGTTACCATTTCTGATAGCTGTGCTTTCTCTAGTAATTGTCAGTGAGTGAAAACTGAAGTGCCTCTCTCTCTCTCTCTCTAGAGTATCTCTGGCCTAAGACTCACTGACACATTCTTAAAGAGAACATACGAATATGATGACATTGCACAAGTCTGCGTGGTCTCATCAGCCGTGGAAGTGGAAGCCTAAAGAAAACTCCTAATGTTAAATTTCTTGTTTAATCACAGAACTGCTCTCTGTATTTTGTGAAATTATCATTAGCAAAAATAAGTGTATGTTATTTAAATTTTTCTGTAAAACAATTGAATATTAAATATTTGTTGTAAAAATGCTAATTTTATCTTGTGAATTATATTCTGAATGAACAGGACATTTCCATATTTTCTACACATATTTCATGTTCTTTAAGATAACTGGCAGCTTCTATCAGGTACCTTTTAGCAAAGGCCCCTGTGTCAGATGTCTTTTCTGTCTATCAAGTATCTTTTTGCAAAGGCAGACCTTATAGCAAAGGCTCATGTGTCAGATGTCTTGGGCACTGGAGACAGATGAGCTCTGCCATCTTGGTACAATATCCGGGGTGTCCATGGTGATGCACCTGCTGGCTAGGGCCCCTGGGCTAAAGTTTACTAATTCATTCTGGAAGATACTTTGGAATTTTCATAACACTTTGTTTAGAAATTTAGTTAAATTAGTCATAGTCAACTACAGTCTCTTTCCTAGGTTCTTAGCCAACAGAAAAGCCTTGTCTGAAACAATTCAGGTCCCCTTCCTGTAGCACGATTATTGCTTAATACAGGATAAACATTTGTAGTTGTTTTCAAAGTCATTGTATGGGTGTAAGTGTGTATGTCTCTGTTAGCATACACATGCCAACACACTTCTCACAGACACACAGCAGCAAACCAGCATTGGTTGACTCGACTAACTTTTTCTTTTTAACTTTTATTGATTCTTGGCAGATTTCACATCATGCATCCCATCCCTACCTCTCTTCTTCTTCCCATCTGCCTTCTGCCCTTGCAACCTCCCATAAACAAAACAAATTTTTAAAGAAAAAACAAATAAAAAAAAAAGAAGCAGCTGTAGTGTGGCCCATTGAGTTAAACTGTAATTCTTTCATCTTCACTTAAAATTGTTCACTGTCGTGAGTCTTTGGTCTGGTTCGAGGCCTCTGGCTTCTGCTATACCATTGGTAATGGACTCTCACTGGGGCTCTTCTTGGATGTCCTGTTGTTCTGTGTCATGGAGATACTGCAGTTTTGAATCTGTAGGTTAATCACCTGCTCCAGCAGTTCATAGATGAGGTGGATGTTGGAGTAGGCTAACTCAACCCTGGTTCTAGTCCTGGGAGGTAGCTGGACTGATCAGCCCACCAACATAGCCCCTTTGTCGCCCCCCGGGTGAGCTCAACAGCACTGCCTGGGCCAGCCCACCCAGTCTGCGGCAAGGAGCAGGGCCAGTTCTCTTGCTCTCAGGCCCTGCCAGGACAAGTGAGGGCCATCTCTCTCAATTGCTGTAGGGGCCACATGAGGTAAGGAGCAGGGTCAGCTCTCCTGCTCTGGTGCCTTCAGGGCTGGCTCATCTGAGCCTCTGTCAACAGGGTTAGTTCTAGTGTGCTGCCCTGGGAGCAAGTCGGGTCTAGTCTTGCAGAGGTGAGGGCAGGGCTGGTTCTCCCACTGGTGGGGAGGGAGAGGCATCTCCCTCAGCCATACCACCACATGGCATGAGAGTGGGGGTGGGGTCAGCTCTGCTGTTCTCATGCCCCGGGGCTGGCTCACCTGCCTCCTGACCACAGGGTCAGCTCTAGTGTTCTGCACAGGTGAGGTGCGTGCTGTGGTGACGGGTGGGGCCATCTTTCCTGATTGTGGGGGCCAGCTCTGCCGCAGTACCCAGCAAGGAGCAGAGCCAGCCAGCTATTCCAGAGTGACTCAGTTAATGTTTAACAAGGTTAAGAATTCTCTAGTTTTAACCTAAAAACTCCTGGGGTTTTTTCCCACTGAGAAATTATTATTTTGTTTTCTCGAGACAGGGTTTCTCTATGTAGCTTTGGAACCTGTCCTGGAACTCTCTGTAGACCAAGCTGGTCTCGAATTCACAGAGATCTGCCTGCCTCTGTCTCCGAGTGCTGGGATTAAAGGTGGGTGCCACCACTGCCCAGTTAGAATTATTTTCATAATACACATCTAAATGATTCCCAGCTTCATATCTGATTTTTAACTCATATCATGAACTAATATAAAAGTTTTGTCTGTCCATATAATCATACCCATTCTGTCAGGAACAAAACAGCAAACAAACAAAAGAAAAAAAAGAGGCTTTAAACAGCTTTGCCATAGGAATATAACATTTGTTTCCCAATTAATCAGGAAAACAAAAATCTATGCTGTTCAATAAGTCTTATCCTCTTTTGAGAAGTTGAAATTCCCCAGTATATAACTGCTTACATATTAAGAATGCATTAAGTCAGACACAAAACCTTTTCTCTTAAATGCATAATTATTTATTGCCATGACAAATTATTTGGTCCAAAAATGAAAGGTATATTCAGAAGGCTTGACCCTCACATTAGTCATGATTGATGAATGTCTATGCAAACCAAAATGCAAGCATTGAGAACTGAAGTCGGTTCCTTAGGATGGCAGAGACTGGTCCAGTCAGTCTTTATCAGCATTATCTCAAGCAACCTCTCATGACTGAACCATGCCTTCATTCATTCAAAATTTAAAAGTTACTCTGCTATATACTTTTAATTACAAAGTCTCTTCTGTGTATAAACAACATAGGTACATACTATTCATACTCTAAATAAAAGTCAGATAAATGCCATCTTATAAAGGATCTGTGTCAACTATTATAAAAACTAGATGATTTGGTACACCAAATGAAATTCTATTTCCATAAAAAGGGCATGTTCAGTTTTGCATAGCATGGTAACAGTTTCAGCTACTCCAGACATTCTAATTAGAATGTATATAAGTACTCAATGCTGTCCTGTTTCTCTTAGCAAGTGTATTTTCCAGACAAGGGGAAGGATACTTGGGGGAGTGTCTGAGAATTTTAAGACAGCTAGCACAATCAGGCCACACACACACACACACACACACACACACACACACACACACACACAAATCCTGAAAATAGCTTGCGGTGTGATGATTCCAATGTGATGGAGAGACCTGAAGAGTAAAAGGTGTCCTGAATAAAAGGAAACTCCATGGAAGTGGGAAGCAACATCTGGTAGTGTATTCGTTCCCAAAGAAACAAACTAAAAAAGTGAAATGGAAGATATACACCAGTTCTATGTTGTGTAAAAAGAAGAGATACTCAGGGCATTAGCACAGGAAGTCAGTGTCCCACAGCCACTGATGAGAACTGTTCATTCTTACCTGGATATTGGTCAATATCCCAGTAAGTGAATTGGAAATTGGGAACTAGTTCTTCCTCTTCTGTTTTCTGAGAGTCCTATAGAGTGGATATTATTCTCTCCTAAGACTTTGATAGAGTTGACCATTGAAATTATCTGAGTCTATGGGGGTTCTTTTGTTTGTCTGTTTGTCCTAGAAGGTACTATTCGGTTATCTTCTTCACAAAGATTGATTTCCAAAAGTTGTTAAATACAAAAATCTAGGGCAAGTCATAGTGTTTTGTAATTGTCCTTTTTTTTGTTGTTTGGGTTGTTTTGTTTCCTACTGGAGTTTTTTTTTGTTTGCTTTTGTTTTTGAAACAGGGTCTCCTGTAGCCCAACCAACACCATACTCACTGTGTAGCCAAGAATGATGTTGAATTCCTGGTCCTGCCTCTACCTCTCAAGTGTTGGGATTACAAGTGCATATTTCCATTCCAGTTCCAGGCAGTACTAGGGAAGGAGTAACCCAGGGCTTCATGCTAGACAAGCACTACCAACTGAACTATGCTCCCTATGTCCCTAGTTTCCCTTTTAACATCTACAGGATCTGTTCAGTAGTATATCTGCTCTTTTTTTCTATTTTTTTCTTTTTTAATGCAGTGATGGAATTGTCATGGTCTCACATACCAGGCAAGCACTCTCACTTTCATCTCTGATACTGTTAATTTGTATTTTCTGTTTCCTAGTGAGCACACTAAGGATTCACCAGTTTTATTGAACTGAAAGCATGTTCTAGGATTAGCAACATCCAACACTGGACAGTTGATTTTAGTTGTCAACTTCAAATTTTCTTTGATTGTAGTCATAACCTTTGTGCAGCCAATGAGTACTTTTCCCTGTGTAAGGAACACTCGATGCTGTGTAACAGGTAACACAACACAGTTCTACGTCACAGGTTCTCCTGTTCTCTACCAGAACCGTGTTTTGTGTCTGTCCCACGAGAGCCTGAGCCCAGGTGCTTGTTTGTTACTGGAGGAGAGTCCTCCAACTTTATGTTGTTCTAAAGTTGAGTTCTAACTGCATGGTGTACTGTTTAAATGATGACCTAAACCTATTTTGGTAATATGACCCTAAACCAGAATTTTTCATTCATTTCCCCCACATGATGTTTATAGTGAAATTACAAAACCACTGTCTCACAAAAGGCAAAAAAGAAAAGGCTTTGAAACCTCAAGACACTAAATACACAGATTAAGAGGAACTGTGGGAAGGCCCTTAGTGCCTCATTAATTTTAAATGACTTTCTTTGTCACCTTTCCCTCATCACATGTAAAATCATTACATACCAGTCCCCATTTAACCAATTTTTTGGTTGATATGCAAATTCCATTTAAAACTGGAATTTTCTCACCCACCAATGTACCTAGAGTCATGCCATTAGTATCTCATGCCATTTCTTTCTACTAACCATATGCCAGAGCATAAATATTATAAGATACTTGAAGTCTCCTGTTAGTTTAATTGCAATAAATTAAAATTAAGCATAAGACTGGCATGCCAAGCTGAACTACAGCAGAGGATTACACAAATAAGCAATGTTAGCAATAGATGCCTTTGTTATCCAGCAAATAATTGTAAAGTTAAAAAACAATCATTGTTGATGGGCACATAATTAAATTCCATTTAGAAATCCTATAACTTGGGGTCAAGTCAGTGGCTTTTTTAAGTATAACTAGATACTGCCCTAGGTGAGTTTCCCACCAATGAAACTGTGATAATTAAGCTGAGATAATTAACAGAGCAGTTGTGTTCACTGACCTGTTATCTCTAAGTGTGTTTCATCGTGTACTTAACTGGCCATGCGAATGCTATCAACACTACACCACAGACAAGATTAGTTAAAATTACACAGAAAACCTGAGCATACTACCGTCGCTTTCTGTACATTCACAGTATCTTCAAAGCATCACCTGCACCTAACACCGC